CCCTAAACCTTTCGCACTGACGCCGGTGCTGGAGGCTGGCGGAGTCGAGGTAGACCCTTAGGTTTTTCGGTCAGTACATCCTAGTTCTACTATGAGTGGGCTCGGTGCGAGCGCAGCGGCGGGGGCAGTCGGAGGAGCAGCCGCCGGTGCAGCCGCGGGGTTGGGGGTAGATATGGACGTCTCGCCGGCTCCAGCTACAGTCGCCGACATCAGAGACGGTTTTCGGCGGCAGCGTAGACGGACCGACACGGACGAGGACAGGCAGGAGCAGTTTGCACTAGAGCAGGAGACGGAGTGGAGGCGGACCTTGCAGCGCGAGCTGCAGCTCTCGAGTCTGGAGGGGGGTGTCCTCGAGAGCAGGACCGTCATCGAGGGTTGGGTTAGCAGGGTTAGGGCTACGGCTGAGGAGGCGCGTGTGGCTCACGAGCAGGCTGTTGCAGAGGCAGCGGCGCTACAGGCAGCACGTGAGCAGTTTAGACAGGAGACAGAGCAGCAGCAGCAGCAGCAGCAGCAGCAGCAGCAGCAGCAGCAGCAGCAGCAGCAGCAGCAGACGCAGCAGCAGCCACAGCAGCAGCCACAGCAGCAGTCGCAGCAGCCGTTTGGTGCCACTGCTACAGGGACAGGGGTTGCTGCAGGGGCAGGGGTTGCTGGAGAGGGGGGAGAGCCGTACGCTATCACCTCACTTCTGTTCCAGCAGGTCTTTGCTGGCGTCTTGCCGGGAGCTGCTACAGGGGGGGCAGCAGCAGGGGGTACCACTGAGGCAGCAGCTCCTGCTGACGCCACGTTACTCTCACAGGCGGCAGAGGTTTCAGCTGCTATCCAGTCAGGTACGGTGCCGACGTACATCTCCACACTCATAGAGACTGAGGCAGAGGTTCTGGCCACTGCACTGCGCGTAGTCTTCAAGACCGAGCGGGGTCTGGTTAAGACTCGCAGACAGTTCTTCGAGGGGAGGGTAGCAGCCAGCTTCAAGAAGAGCTTCGTTCCGCAGCTGCATCTTCACACTCCAGAGGTGCAGGCACAGGCTAACACGAGGCTTAGGGAGCTGGAGCAGCAGGTGCTGGGTCAGATGCAGCTGATTTTGATCCAGGGGCAGATGGATGACCTGACTCACCTCCAAAGGCAGGTATCCACCTGGCGCGGCAGGCTTGTGGAGGCGGTAGACGACCTTGTAGCCACAGCTTGCAGCGTGGGCTTTCTTGCGCAGCAGTTTGCAGCAGAGTCTTCTCGCCCTGCTGTTTGGCAGAGCATCCAGACTCTACGGGGACGGTGTCACGCCGCTGTCGCTGACGCGCTTCTGCGGGTGGGGCTGGAGCACCAGCGGTACGTCCACCAGGAGACCACCAGGATCGACAGGCAGCAGGCGCAGCGGACGGCCCAGCAGGAGCGGCGAGCACAGGCAGAGGGTGCGCCGGTAGACGAGGTCATGGGGGAATTTGTCCCTCGTGAGGTCGAGAGACAGGTCGGCGCTTGGCAGGACGAGCAGAGGGAGGCCTGGCGTCGGTTTTCTGAGCGTCTAGACCGTCTTGAGGGTCGTCGACAGGGGCAGCAGACGCAGCAGCAACGGGGTAGGACCCGTGCTAGGGAGCCGACGGGAGATGGCCGCCTCGAGTCCATCTCCCCTGTTCGCAGCCGTCCACAGCCAGCCACAGCGGCGGCACAGACTGCAGGTGCCCAGGCGGCAGCCACCGCAGCTGCTACAGCGGCCCAGCAGCGCCCGGGACAGCGACAGACGCAGACCCAGGGGCAGCAGCAGGGTACAGGACAGGGGCAGCAGCAGGGTGCGGCACAGGGGCAGCAGCAGCGGCAGCAGCAGCAGCAGCAGCCGCAGCAGCAGGGTCAGCGACAGCAGCAGGCTCGCCAGCAGCAGCCACCCGTCCAGCCTTCTGGACGCCAGACTGGCCAGACTCCAGCCTCAGCTCAGGGAGGTTGGGGGCAGCGTCCCAGTGGCCCGGGTGACCGGCGCGGGCCCTGGAGTGGACAGGGGTGGCGTGGGGACCAGGGTGGACGTTGGGGGGGAGGAGGGCGTGACGGGGGGAGACAGGAGGGGGGTTGGCAGGGTTTTGGCCCGTGGGGGCAGCAGCCGTTCCAGCAGGGCTACTTCCACCCACAGCAGCAGCCCCTCGTACACCCCGGACAGGGAGGCCCTTTTTTCTGGCCTCAGCCCCCTTTTCCTGGGGGGCACCACCTGCCCTTCTTGGGCCACCTAGCGCAGCAGCAGTTCCTTCAGCAGCCGTTTTACGGGACTCCGGCGTGGCAGCAGCCACAGCACCGCCCGGGCCCAGTGTTTCCACAGGACCATCTGCCGCAGCAGCCCCAGGGGCAGCAGCAGACGGGGCAGCAGCAGCAGCAGCAGACGGGCCAGTAGAGGCAGACACAGGGGACGGGGTTGGTAGCCGAGGGAGGCACAGACCACGTAGGAGGCTAGAGGAGTCGGACAGGGAGCGTCTGCTTCGACGGTTTGCCAGGCGCAGTGTGCAAGAGGTCGCGGACAAGCTAACTAACGTGGCTGTCCACAACCTCTCGCGCAGGCGTCTGACAGAGGATGAGCTTACAGGCCTTGCTCTTGGCCTTAAGTTCATCCCTACGCCCCCTCCTCTTGACCGAGGGCGGCTGAGTCAGGCTGTGGAGCAGTATCAGCGGCGGGTTAGGCTAGCGTGGCAGTTTCGGGACAGCCGCAGACCGGTGCCTAGGTTTCGGGTCCCACGACCTAGTTGGCAGCCGGACCCGGGGCCACCAGAGGTCGAGGAGTATCTTGCTGAGGTAGCTGACAGGGTGGAGGGGCTGGCGGGTCTTATAGGAGGGCCCGCTCGGCCCAACATCAGCAGCCGCGTTAGGGGTGCACTCCTGGGGTTGAGTCGTGACCGGTCTGTTGTCATCAAACCGGCGGACAAAAACCTTGGGATCGTGGTACTGGATAGGGACTGGTACGAGGGGGAGGCGCTGAGGCAGTTGGGGGACAGGGCAGTCTACGAGCCGGTTGCTGCGGTGCCGCTACGTTCCCTTTGGCAGCAGCTGTGTAGGTGGGCAGAGCAGGCGCGTTACGCAGGGGTTCCGCCACAGGTGCTGGACTACATCTTGCAGCCGCGTACTCCGCCGACGGGGGTGTCTGCCGGGGTCTGGGAGCAGTTTCGGGTGTGCAGATTTTACCTACTACCGAAACTGCACAAGACCCCGGTGGCTGGCAGACCCATCTGCTCGTCTACGCTTTGGGTCTTTGAGCACGCGTCGGCGGTTCTTGATCACCACCTCCGCCCCCTCCTACAGTTCTCACCCGCACACCTTCCTGACTCGCTCGCACTTCTTCACCAGCTTCAGGACCTCTCTGTGCCTGCTGACGCTCTCTTCCTCACTTACGACGTAGAGAGCCTCTACCCGTCGATTCCTATCGACGCAGGTATCAGCTGCATAGAGAGGTGGCTGTTTCGGCTGGTAGGGTTGGGTAGGGTGGCGGTGCGGGTAGCAGACGCGTTGGTGCAGCTGTTGGGGTTAGTCATGAGACAGAACCACCTCGAGTTTGGTGGTCGCTTCTGGCGACAGGTTCGGGGTACTGCCATGGGCACGCCTGTGGCGGTGATCTACGCGGTTCTGTTCATGGCTTGGTTAGACGAGAGGCTGTTAGAGACCGAGCCAGAGTTGTCGCAGTTCGTCCTTCTCCACCGCAGGTTTATAGACGACGGGGTGGTTATTTGGACGGGTACACGTGAGCGGCTCCTGGACTGGGTGCGGGCTTTCGGTGGGTTGGAGCAGACTATTCGATTGACCCACGAGATCTCGACCTCACACTTTACCTTGCTGGACATTACGTTCAGCAAGGGGGAGCTTTGGCAGAGGACGGCTGTTCTGGACACTAGTACTTTCCAGAAGCCGCTTAACGTGTACCAGTACTTTCCTTTCTCCTCCGCGCACCCCTCTCACTGCAAGAGGGGCTTTATTTTGGGAGAGTTGCAGCGGTACATCCTGCGGGAGTCCAGCTTTAGGGGTTACTTGGGCATCAGGGCAGCCTTTTACTCTCGGCTTCGGGCCAGAGGCTACCCTGATGCCTTCTTGCAGCCGATATTCAGCAGCATCTCCTACGCACGACGCCCGGAGCTGCTAGCCAGGTCACGGGCTCGGGTGGAGCGGGAGCAGGAGGAGCAGCGGGTTCTCCCTCTCGTTCTCGACTTTCACCCTAGTGTGCAGCAGGTTCGCTGGGGCGCGCTGCTGGAGTTTCCCACAGGTGCACCGGCTTTCGAGCAGCTGTCTCACTACAGGGCACCCTTCGTGTCCTACAGGGCACCGCCGTCACTGCGTCGCGTTCTGGTTCGAGCGGCGTTCAGGTGACTGTGTCGCGTGTCGCCTTCAGCCGTCACCCTAGAGTTCAGCACCGGTCTTTCGTTGGTAGTGGCTCCAGGGTTGGTCCTCTGCCGTCTCCCCGCCCTTCCTCCTTGATTCGCTACACAGGTTGGGCCCTGGAGGCAGCACTCTCTTTCACTGGCTGCAGTGTGTTCCTTTGAGTTGGGCCTTTGCAGCAGCACCGTCCCCCGTCCGGTCTCTTTGTTTGCGCTACACAGACCGGGCCTTGGGACGCACACCAGCCCCCCGCCTGGCCTCCTTGATTCCTTTTACACAGGCCAGGCCCTGGGGCGGTGCGAGCGCCCCCGGCTGCTCTTTCCTTATTCTTGGGGGTTTAGCACTGGGATATGCACTTGCACACTTGTACCACTCCCCATCCCAGACCTTTATGAGTACTTGGGATGCCTACCTCTTCTTTGCACGGGGTCTTGGGGTTTGGATCCATGCGCATCTTGTATATTCCCCGCTCCTGGCCATATGAGCACAGGAGCGCCTTCCTCCTCTTGCATATCATTGGGGGGGGTTTGCATTTAGGGGCCTTGATGCACATGGCACTTGTACTCGACATGCCCCCGACCTTTATGAGTTCGAGGGGGCACTGCACATAGTGGGCAGTCAGACCTCGAGCGGGTTCTTGGGGCCCTGAGGTCGGGTACTAGTCGGGCTCTGTTCCGTGATGACTTCATCACGTAGGGCTGTTGAAGAGCTCTCCGACGAGCCTTCACACGTCCCGAACGGAGCACCGAGCGCATAGTTATGCGCATTTTTCTGTTTCTGCTACTCGGATTCGTGCGAATCCGTGAAGCGACATAGTAGCTACCGGGGCTATTCTAGAAAGCTCCGGTTTTCGCCGCCCGGCCATGGCTGATGGGTTCCATATCATATATGGGACCATAAGCCCCGTAGGGGCTGGAGGCCATCCGCGCCGTCGGATTTGCCATCCGGTGCCCGGATTGGGAGATATGGGCGCCTAGGATGATGGTCCCTGACAGGGTGCCACTTGGCACCTTGCAGGGCTAGTTTTGAGCCTAGGTGGCGCTTGCCCCACAAGGCATTCTGTGACATTGGTAGGGATTGCTCGAGTAGGGAACTCTTGCTAGGGTAGGAAATGTCTTGCTGATGATGCCTTCACGGGCGAAATCGATACGAGACGGCTTCTACCTTCACTTGAGGTACTTACTCTCTTGCATTTCCCTACACACTAGGCTCCAGACATGTGTTTTTTTTCTTGTTTTCCTAGCTTCTCACTTTGCCTAGGACTTGCACAGTTTGTGGCCGTTGGAGAGCCTCGTGTTGCTCTCTAACGGCGGTAGTGTTGCGTAGGTTAGCGCCGACGAGTAGAGTAGCTCAGAGGCTCGTGCATTGGCCTTCTCCCAGGCTAGGTCGTAGTCTCTCGCTCTACGTTCGGCAGGGTTCACCTCGCTTTAGTCACCCTTTTCGCTAGCGACTCTGGAGTCCGGAGCAGCACTGCAGCTCAGTTCTTTGAGCCCTTCTTTTCAAACCCTAAACCTTTCGCACTGACGCCGGTGCTGGAGGCTGGCGGAGTCGAGGTAGACCCTTAGGTTTTTCGGTCAGTACATCCTAGTTCTACTATGAGTGGGCTCGGTGCGAGCGCAGCGGCGGGGGCAGTCGGAGGAGCAGCCGCCGGTGCAGCCGCGGGGTTGGGGGTAGATATGGACGTCTCGCCGGCTCCAGCTACAGTCGCCGACATCAGAGACGGTTTTCGGCGGCAGCGTAGACGGACCGACACGGACGAGGACAGGCAGGAGCAGTTTGCACTAGAGCAGGAGACGGAGTGGAGGCGGACCTTGCAGCGCGAGCTGCAGCTCTCGAGTCTGGAGGGGGGTGTCCTCGAGAGCAGGACCGTCATCGAGGGTTGGGTTAGCAGGGTTAGGGCTACGGCTGAGGAGGCGCGTGTGGCTCACGAGCAGGCTGTTGCAGAGGCAGCGGCGCTACAGGCAGCACGTGAGCAGTTTAGACAGGAGACAGAGCAGCAGCAGCAGCAGCAGCAGCAGCAGCAGCAGCAGCAGCAGCAGCAGCAGCAGCAGCAGCAGCAGACGCAGCAGCAGCCACAGCAGCAGCCACAGCAGCAGTCGCAGCAGCCGTTTGGTGCCACTGCTACAGGGACAGGGGTTGCTGCAGGGGCAGGGGTTGCTGGAGAGGGGGGAGAGCCGTACGCTATCACCTCACTTCTGTTCCAGCAGGTCTTTGCTGGCGTCTTGCCGGGAGCTGCTACAGGGGGGGCAGCAGCAGGGGGTACCACTGAGGCAGCAGCTCCTGCTGACGCCACGTTACTCTCACAGGCGGCAGAGGTTTCAGCTGCTATCCAGTCAGGTACGGTGCCGACGTACATCTCCACACTCATAGAGACTGAGGCAGAGGTTCTGGCCACTGCACTGCGCGTAGTCTTCAAGACCGAGCGGGGTCTGGTTAAGACTCGCAGACAGTTCTTCGAGGGGAGGGTAGCAGCCAGCTTCAAGAAGAGCTTCGTTCCGCAGCTGCATCTTCACACTCCAGAGGTGCAGGCACAGGCTAACACGAGGCTTAGGGAGCTGGAGCAGCAGGTGCTGGGTCAGATGCAGCTGATTTTGATCCAGGGGCAGATGGATGACCTGACTCACCTCCAAAGGCAGGTATCCACCTGGCGCGGCAGGCTTGTGGAGGCGGTAGACGACCTTGTAGCCACAGCTTGCAGCGTGGGCTTTCTTGCGCAGCAGTTTGCAGCAGAGTCTTCTCGCCCTGCTGTTTGGCAGAGCATCCAGACTCTACGGGGACGGTGTCACGCCGCTGTCGCTGACGCGCTTCTGCGGGTGGGGCTGGAGCACCAGCGGTACGTCCACCAGGAGACCACCAGGATCGACAGGCAGCAGGCGCAGCGGACGGCCCAGCAGGAGCGGCGAGCACAGGCAGAGGGTGCGCCGGTAGACGAGGTCATGGGGGAATTTGTCCCTCGTGAGGTCGAGAGACAGGTCGGCGCTTGGCAGGACGAGCAGAGGGAGGCCTGGCGTCGGTTTTCTGAGCGTCTAGACCGTCTTGAGGGTCGTCGACAGGGGCAGCAGACGCAGCAGCAACGGGGTAGGACCCGTGCTAGGGAGCCGACGGGAGATGGCCGCCTCGAGTCCATCTCCCCTGTTCGCAGCCGTCCACAGCCAGCCACAGCGGCGGCACAGACTGCAGGTGCCCAGGCGGCAGCCACCGCAGCTGCTACAGCGGCCCAGCAGCGCCCGGGACAGCGACAGACGCAGACCCAGGGGCAGCAGCAGGGTACAGGACAGGGGCAGCAGCAGGGTGCGGCACAGGGGCAGCAGCAGCGGCAGCAGCAGCAGCAGCAGCCGCAGCAGCAGGGTCAGCGACAGCAGCAGGCTCGCCAGCAGCAGCCACCCGTCCAGCCTTCTGGACGCCAGACTGGCCAGACTCCAGCCTCAGCTCAGGGAGGTTGGGGGCAGCGTCCCAGTGGCCCGGGTGACCGGCGCGGGCCCTGGAGTGGACAGGGGTGGCGTGGGGACCAGGGTGGACGTTGGGGGGGAGGAGGGCGTGACGGGGGGAGACAGGAGGGGGGTTGGCAGGGTTTTGGCCCGTGGGGGCAGCAGCCGTTCCAGCAGGGCTACTTCCACCCACAGCAGCAGCCCCTCGTACACCCCGGACAGGGAGGCCCTTTTTTCTGGCCTCAGCCCCCTTTTCCTGGGGGGCACCACCTGCCCTTCTTGGGCCACCTAGCGCAGCAGCAGTTCCTTCAGCAGCCGTTTTACGGGACTCCGGCGTGGCAGCAGCCACAGCACCGCCCGGGCCCAGTGTTTCCACAGGACCATCTGCCGCAGCAGCCCCAGGGGCAGCAGCAGACGGGGCAGCAGCAGCAGCAGCAGACGGGCCAGTAGAGGCAGACACAGGGGACGGGGTTGGTAGCCGAGGGAGGCACAGACCACGTAGGAGGCTAGAGGAGTCGGACAGGGAGCGTCTGCTTCGACGGTTTGCCAGGCGCAGTGTGCAAGAGGTCGCGGACAAGCTAACTAACGTGGCTGTCCACAACCTCTCGCGCAGGCGTCTGACAGAGGATGAGCTTACAGGCCTTGCTCTTGGCCTTAAGTTCATCCCTACGCCCCCTCCTCTTGACCGAGGGCGGCTGAGTCAGGCTGTGGAGCAGTATCAGCGGCGGGTTAGGCTAGCGTGGCAGTTTCGGGACAGCCGCAGACCGGTGCCTAGGTTTCGGGTCCCACGACCTAGTTGGCAGCCGGACCCGGGGCCACCAGAGGTCGAGGAGTATCTTGCTGAGGTAGCTGACAGGGTGGAGGGGCTGGCGGGTCTTATAGGAGGGCCCGCTCGGCCCAACATCAGCAGCCGCGTTAGGGGTGCACTCCTGGGGTTGAGTCGTGACCGGTCTGTTGTCATCAAACCGGCGGACAAAAACCTTGGGATCGTGGTACTGGATAGGGACTGGTACGAGGGGGAGGCGCTGAGGCAGTTGGGGGACAGGGCAGTCTACGAGCCGGTTGCTGCGGTGCCGCTACGTTCCCTTTGGCAGCAGCTGTGTAGGTGGGCAGAGCAGGCGCGTTACGCAGGGGTTCCGCCACAGGTGCTGGACTACATCTTGCAGCCGCGTACTCCGCCGACGGGGGTGTCTGCCGGGGTCTGGGAGCAGTTTCGGGTGTGCAGATTTTACCTACTACCGAAACTGCACAAGACCCCGGTGGCTGGCAGACCCATCTGCTCGTCTACGCTTTGGGTCTTTGAGCACGCGTCGGCGGTTCTTGATCACCACCTCCGCCCCCTCCTACAGTTCTCACCCGCACACCTTCCTGACTCGCTCGCACTTCTTCACCAGCTTCAGGACCTCTCTGTGCCTGCTGACGCTCTCTTCCTCACTTACGACGTAGAGAGCCTCTACCCGTCGATTCCTATCGACGCAGGTATCAGCTGCATAGAGAGGTGGCTGTTTCGGCTGGTAGGGTTGGGTAGGGTGGCGGTGCGGGTAGCAGACGCGTTGGTGCAGCTGTTGGGGTTAGTCATGAGACAGAACCACCTCGAGTTTGGTGGTCGCTTCTGGCGACAGGTTCGGGGTACTGCCATGGGCACGCCTGTGGCGGTGATCTACGCGGTTCTGTTCATGGCTTGGTTAGACGAGAGGCTGTTAGAGACCGAGCCAGAGTTGTCGCAGTTCGTCCTTCTCCACCGCAGGTTTATAGACGACGGGGTGGTTATTTGGACGGGTACACGTGAGCGGCTCCTGGACTGGGTGCGGGCTTTCGGTGGGTTGGAGCAGACTATTCGATTGACCCACGAGATCTCGACCTCACACTTTACCTTGCTGGACATTACGTTCAGCAAGGGGGAGCTTTGGCAGAGGACGGCTGTTCTGGACACTAGTACTTTCCAGAAGCCGCTTAACGTGTACCAGTACTTTCCTTTCTCCTCCGCGCACCCCTCTCACTGCAAGAGGGGCTTTATTTTGGGAGAGTTGCAGCGGTACATCCTGCGGGAGTCCAGCTTTAGGGGTTACTTGGGCATCAGGGCAGCCTTTTACTCTCGGCTTCGGGCCAGAGGCTACCCTGATGCCTTCTTGCAGCCGATATTCAGCAGCATCTCCTACGCACGACGCCCGGAGCTGCTAGCCAGGTCACGGGCTCGGGTGGAGCGGGAGCAGGAGGAGCAGCGGGTTCTCCCTCTCGTTCTCGACTTTCACCCTAGTGTGCAGCAGGTTCGCTGGGGCGCGCTGCTGGAGTTTCCCACAGGTGCACCGGCTTTCGAGCAGCTGTCTCACTACAGGGCACCCTTCGTGTCCTACAGGGCACCGCCGTCACTGCGTCGCGTTCTGGTTCGAGCGGCGTTCAGGTGACTGTGTCGCGTGTCGCCTTCAGCCGTCACCCTAGAGTTCAGCACCGGTCTTTCGTTGGTAGTGGCTCCAGGGTTGGTCCTCTGCCGTCTCCCCGCCCTTCCTCCTTGATTCGCTACACAGGTTGGGCCCTGGAGGCAGCACTCTCTTTCACTGGCTGCAGTGTGTTCCTTTGAGTTGGGCCTTTGCAGCAGCACCGTCCCCCGTCCGGTCTCTTTGTTTGCGCTACACAGACCGGGCCTTGGGACGCACACCAGCCCCCCGCCTGGCCTCCTTGATTCCTTTTACACAGGCCAGGCCCTGGGGCGGTGCGAGCGCCCCCGGCTGCTCTTTCCTTATTCTTGGGGGTTTAGCACTGGGATATGCACTTGCACACTTGTACCACTCCCCATCCCAGACCTTTATGAGTACTTGGGATGCCTACCTCTTCTTTGCACGGGGTCTTGGGGTTTGGATCCATGCGCATCTTGTATATTCCCCGCTCCTGGCCATATGAGCACAGGAGCGCCTTCCTCCTCTTGCATATCATTGGGGGGGGTTTGCATTTAGGGGCCTTGATGCACATGGCACTTGTACTCGACATGCCCCCGACCTTTATGAGTTCGAGGGGGCACTGCACATAGTGGGCAGTCAGACCTCGAGCGGGTTCTTGGGGCCCTGAGGTCGGGTACTAGTCGGGCTCTGTTCCGTGATGACTTCATCACGTAGGGCTGTTGAAGAGCTCTCCGACGAGCCTTCACACGTCCCGAACGGAGCACCGAGCGCATAGTTATGCGCATTTTTCTGTTTCTGCTACTCGGATTCGTGCGAATCCGTGAAGCGACATAGTAGCTACCGGGGCTATTCTAGAAAGCTCCGGTTTTCGCCGCCCGGCCATGGCTGATGGGTTCCATATCATATATGGGACCATAAGCCCCGTAGGGGCTGGAGGCCATCCGCGCCGTCGGATTTGCCATCCGGTGCCCGGATTGGGAGATATGGGCGCCTAGGATGATGGTCCCTGACAGGGTGCCACTTGGCACCTTGCAGGGCTAGTTTTGAGCCTAGGTGGCGCTTGCCCCACAAGGCATTCTGTGACATTTGGTAGGGATTGCTCGAGTAGGGAACTCTTGCTAGGGTAGGAAATGTCTTGCTGATGATGCCTTCACGGGCGAAATCGATACGAGACGGCTTCTACCTTCACTTGAGGTACTTACTCTCTTGCATTTCCCTACACACTAGGCTCCAGACATGTGTTTTTTTCTTGTTTTCCTAGCTTCTCACTTTGCCTAGGACTTGCACAGTTTGTGGCCGTTGGAGAGCCTCGTGTTGCTCTCTAACGGCGGTAGTGTTGCGTAGGTTAGCGCCGACGAGTAGAGTAGCTCAGAGGCTCGTGCATTGGCCTTCTCCCAGGCTAGGTCGTAGTCTCTCGCTCTACGTTCGGCAGGGTTCACCTCGCTTTAGTCACCCTTTTCGCTAGCGACTCTGGAGTCCGGAGCAGCACTGCAGCTCAGTTCTTTGAGCCCTTCTTTTCAAACCCTAAACCTTTCGCACTGACGCCGGTGCTGGAGGCTGGCGGAGTCGAGGTAGACCCTTAGGTTTTTCGGTCAGTACATCCTAGTTCTACTATGAGTGGGCTCGGTGCGAGCGCAGCGGCGGGGGCAGTCGGAGGAGCAGCCGCCGGTGCAGCCGCGGGGTTGGGGGTAGATATGGACGTCTCGCCGGCTCCAGCTACAGTCGCCGACATCAGAGACGGTTTTCGGCGGCAGCGTAGACGGACCGACACGGACGAGGACAGGCAGGAGCAGTTTGCACTAGAGCAGGAGACGGAGTGGAGGCGGACCTTGCAGCGCGAGCTGCAGCTCTCGAGTCTGGAGGGGGGTGTCCTCGAGAGCAGGACCGTCATCGAGGGTTGGGTTAGCAGGGTTAGGGCTACGGCTGAGGAGGCGCGTGTGGCTCACGAGCAGGCTGTTGCAGAGGCAGCGGCGCTACAGGCAGCACGTGAGCAGTTTAGACAGGAGACAGAGCAGCAGCAGCAGCAGCAGCAGCAGCAGCAGCAGCAGCAGCAGCAGCAGCAGCAGCAGACGCAGCAGCAGCCAGCCACAGCAGCAGTCGCAGCAGCCGTTTGGTGCCACTGCTACAGGGACAGGGGTTGCTGCAGGGGCAGGGGTTGCTGGAGAGGGGGGAGAGCCGTACGCTATCACCTCACTTCTGTTCCAGCAGGTCTTTGCTGGCGTCTTGCCGGGAGCTGCTACAGGGGGGGCAGCAGCAGGGGGTACCACTGAGGCAGCAGCTCCTGCTGACGCCACGTTACTCTCACAGGCGGCAGAGGTTTCAGCTGCTATCCAGTCAGGTACGGTGCCGACGTACATCTCCACACTCATAGAGACTGAGGCAGAGGTTCTGGCCACTGCACTGCGCGTAGTCTTCAAGACCGAGCGGGGTCTGGTTAAGACTCGCAGACAGTTCTTCGAGGGGAGGGTAGCAGCCAGCTTCAAGAAGAGCTTCGTTCCGCAGCTGCATCTTCACACTCCAGAGGTGCAGGCACAGGCTAACACGAGGCTTAGGGAGCTGGAGCAGCAGGTGCTGGGTCAGATGCAGCTGATTTTGATCCAGGGGCAGATGGATGACCTGACTCACCTCCAAAGGCAGGTATCCACCTGGCGCGGCAGGCTTGTGGAGGCGGTAGACGACCTTGTAGCCACAGCTTGCAGCGTGGGCTTTCTTGCGCAGCAGTTTGCAGCAGAGTCTTCTCGCCCTGCTGTTTGGCAGAGCATCCAGACTCTACGGGGACGGTGTCACGCCGCTGTCGCTGACGCGCTTCTGCGGGTGGGGCTGGAGCACCAGCGGTACGTCCACCAGGAGACCACCAGGATCGACAGGCAGCAGGCGCAGCGGACGGCCCAGCAGGAGCGGCGAGCACAGGCAGAGGGTGCGCCGGTAGACGAGGTCATGGGGGAATTTGTCCCTCGTGAGGTCGAGAGACAGGTCGGCGCTTGGCAGGACGAGCAGAGGGAGGCCTGGCGTCGGTTTTCTGAGCGTCTAGACCGTCTTGAGGGTCGTCGACAGGGGCAGCAGACGCAGCAGCAACGGGGTAGGACCCGTGCTAGGGAGCCGACGGGAGATGGCCGCCTCGAGTCCATCTCCCCTGTTCGCAGCCGTCCACAGCCAGCCACAGCGGCGGCACAGACTGCAGGTGCCCAGGCGGCAGCCACCGCAGCTGCTACAGCGGCCCAGCAGCGCCCGGGACAGCGACAGACGCAGACCCAGGGGCAGCAGCAGGGTACAGGACAGGGGCAGCAGCAGGGTGCGGCACAGGGGCAGCAGCAGCGGCAGCAGCAGCAGCAGCAGCCGCAGCAGCAGGGTCAGCGACAGCAGCAGGCTCGCCAGCAGCAGCCACCCGTCCAGCCTTCTGGACGCCAGACTGGCCAGACTCCAGCCTCAGCTCAGGGAGGTTGGGGGCAGCGTCCCAGTGGCCCGGGTGACCGGCGCGGGCCCTGGAGTGGACAGGGGTGGCGTGGGGACCAGGGTGGACGTTGGGGGGGAGGAGGGCGTGACGGGGGGAGACAGGAGGGGGGTTGGCAGGGTTTTGGCCCGTGGGGGCAGCAGCCGTTCCAGCAGGGCTACTTCCACCCACAGCAGCAGCCCCTCGTACACCCCGGACAGGGAGGCCCTTTTTTCTGGCCTCAGCCCCCTTTTCCTGGGGGGCACCACCTGCCCTTCTTGGGCCACCTAGCGCAGCAGCAGTTCCTTCAGCAGCCGTTTTACGGGACTCCGGCGTGGCAGCAGCCACAGCACCGCCCGGGCCCAGTGTTTCCACAGGACCATCTGCCGCAGCAGCCCCAGGGGCAGCAGCAGACGGGGCAGCAGCAGCAGCAGCAGACGGGCCAGTAGAGGCAGACACAGGGGACGGGGTTGGTAGCCGAGGGAGGCACAGACCACGTAGGAGGCTAGAGGAGTCGGACAGGGAGCGTCTGCTTCGACGGTTTGCCAGGCGCAGTGTGCAAGAGGTCGCGGACAAGCTAACTAACGTGGCTGTCCACAACCTCTCGCGCAGGCGTCTGACAGAGGATGAGCTTACAGGCCTTGCTCTTGGCCTTAAGTTCATCCCTACGCCCCCTCCTCTTGACCGAGGGCGGCTGAGTCAGGCTGTGGAGCAGTATCAGCGGCGGGTTAGGCTAGCGTGGCAGTTTCGGGACAGCCGCAGACCGGTGCCTAGGTTTCGGGTCCCACGACCTAGTTGGCAGCCGGACCCGGGGCCACCAGAGGTCGAGGAGTATCTTGCTGAGGTAGCTGACAGGGTGGAGGGGCTGGCGGGTCTTATAGGAGGGCCCGCTCGGCCCAACATCAGCAGCCGCGTTAGGGGTGCACTCCTGGGGTTGAGTCGTGACCGGTCTGTTGTCATCAAACCGGCGGACAAAAACCTTGGGATCGTGGTACTGGATAGGGACTGGTACGAGGGGGAGGCGCTGAGGCAGTTGGGGGACAGGGCAGTCTACGAGCCGGTTGCTGCGGTGCCGCTACGTTCCCTTTGGCAGCAGCTGTGTAGGTGGGCAGAGCAGGCGCGTTACGCAGGGGTTCCGCCACAGGTGCTGGACTACATCTTGCAGCCGCGTACTCCGCCGACGGGGGTGTCTGCCGGGGTCTGGGAGCAGTTTCGGGTGTGCAGATTTTACCTACTACCGAAACTGCACAAGACCCCGGTGGCTGGCAGACCCATCTGCTCGTCTACGCTTTGGGTCTTTGAGCACGCGTCGGCGGTTCTTGATCACCACCTCCGCCCCCTCCTACAGTTCTCACCCGCACACCTTCCTGACTCGCTCGCACTTCTTCACCAGCTTCAGGACCTCTCTGTGCCTGCTGACGCTCTCTTCCTCACTTACGACGTAGAGAGCCTCTACCCGTCGATTCCTATCGACGCAGGTATCAGCTGCATAGAGAGGTGGCTGTTTCGGCTGGTAGGGTTGGGTAGGGTGGCGGTGCGGGTAGCAGACGCGTTGGTGCAGCTGTTGGGGTTAGTCATGAGACAGAACCACCTCGAGTTTGGTGGTCGCTTCTGGCGACAGGTTCGGGGTACTGCCATGGGCACGCCTGTGGCGGTGATCTACGCGGTTCTGTTCATGGCTTGGTTAGACGAGAGGCTGTTAGAGACCGAGCCAGAGTTGTCGCAGTTCGTCCTTCTCCACCGCAGGTTTATAGACGACGGGGTGGTTATTTGGACGGGTACACGTGAGCGGCTCCTGGACTGGGTGCGGGCTTTCGGTGGGTTGGAGCAGACTATTCGATTGACCCACGAGATCTCGACCTCACACTTTACCTTGCTGGACATTACGTTCAGCAAGGGGGAGCTTTGGCAGAGGACGGCTGTTCTGGACACTAGTACTTTCCAGAAGCCGCTTAACGTGTACCAGTACTTTCCTTTCTCCTCCGCGCACCCCTCTCACTGCAAGAGGGGCTTTATTTTGGGAGAGTTGCAGCGGTACATCCTGCGGGAGTCCAGCTTTAGGGGTTACTTGGGCATCAGGGCAGCCTTTTACTCTCGGCTTCGGGCCAGAGGCTACCCTGATGCCTTCTTGCAGCCGATATTCAGCAGCATCTCCTACGCACGACGCCCGGAGCTGCTAGCCAGGTCACGGGCTCGGGTGGAGCGGGAGCAGGAGGAGCAGCGGGTTCTCCCTCTCGTTCTCGACTTTCACCCTAGTGTGCAGCAGGTTCGCTGGGGCGCGCTGCTGGAGTTTCCCACAGGTGCACCGGCTTTCGAGCAGCTGTCTCACTACAGGGCACCCTTCGTGTCCTACAGGGCACCGCCGTCACTGCGTCGCGTTCTGGTTCGAGCGGCGTTCAGGTGACTGTGTCGCGTGTCGCCTTCAGCCGTCACCCTAGAGTTCAGCACCGGTCTTTCGTTGGTAGTGGCTCCAGGGTTGGTCCTCTGCCGTCTCCCCGCCCTTCCTCCTTGATTCGCTACACAGGTTGGGCCCTGGAGGCAGCACTCTCTTTCACTGGCTGCAGTGTGTTCCTTTGAGTTGGGCCTTTGCAGCAGCACCGTCCCCCGTCCGGTCTCTTTGTTTGCGCTACACAGACCGGGCCTTGGGACGCACACCAGCCCCCCGCCTGGCCTCCTTGATTCCTTTTACACAGGCCAGGCCCTGGGGCGGTGCGAGCGCCCCCGGCTGCTCTTTCCTTATTCTTGGGGGTTTAGCACTGGGATATGCACTTGCACACTTGTACCACTCCCCATCCCAGACCTTTATGAGTACTTGGGATGCCTACCTCTTCTTTGCACGGGGTCTTGGGGTTTGGATCCATGCGCATCTTGTATATTCCCCGCTCCTGGCCATATGAGCACAGGAGCGCCTTCCTCCTCTTGCATATCATTGGGGGGGGTTTGCATTTAGGGGCCTTGATGCACATGGCACTTGTACTCGACATGCCCCCGACCTTTATGAGTTCGAGGGGGCACTGCACATAGTGGGCAGTCAGACCTCGAGCGGGTTCTTGGGGCCCTGAGGTCGGGTACTAGTCGGGCTCTGTTCCGTGATGACTTCATCACGTAGGGCTGTTGAAGAGCTCTCCGACGAGCCTTCACACGTCCCGAACGGAGCACCGAGCGCATAGTTATGCGCATTTTTCTGTTTCTGCTACTCGGATTCGTGCGAATCCGTGAAGCGACATAGTAGCTACCGGGGCTATTCTAGAAAGCTCCGGTTTTCGCCGCCCGGCCATGGCTGATGGGTTCCATATCATATATGGGACCATAAGCCCCGTAGGGGCTGGAGGCCATCCGCGCCGTCGGATTTGCCATCCGGTGCCCGGATTGGGAGATATGGGCGCCTAGGATGATGGTCCCTGACAGGGTGCCACTTGGCACCTTGCAGGGCTAGTTTTGAGCCTAGGTGGCGCTTGCCCCACAAGGCATTCTGTGACATTTGGTAGGGATTGCTCGAGTAGGGAACTCTTGCTAGGGTAGGAAATGTCTTGCTGATGATGCCTTCACGGGCGAAATCGATACGAGACGGCTTCTACCTTCACTTGAGGTACTTACTCTCTTGCATTTCCCTACACACTAGGCTCCAGACATGTGTTTTTTTTCTTGCTTTCCTAGCTTCTCACTTTGCCTAGGACTTGCACAGTTTGTGGCCGTTGGAGAGCCTCGTGTTGCTCTCTAACGGCGGTAGTGTTGCGTAGGTTAGCGCCGACGAGTAGAGTAGCTCAGAGGCTCGTGCATTGGCCTTCTCCCAGGCTAGGTCGTAGTCTCTCGCTCTACGTTCGGCAGGGTTCACCTCGCTTTAGTCACCCTTTTCGCTAGCGACTCTGGAGTCCGGAGCAGCACTGCAGCTCAGTTCTTTGAGCCCTTCTTTTCAAACCCTAAACCTTTCGCACTGACGCCGGTGCTGGAGGCTGGCGGAGTCGAGGTAGACCCTTAGGTTTTTCGGTCAGTACATCCTAGTTCTACTATGAGTGGGCTCGGTGCGAGCGCAGCGGCGGGGGCAGTCGGAGGAGCAGCCGCCGGTGCAGCCGCGGGGTTGGGGGTAGATATGGACGTCTCGCCGGCTCCAGCTACAGTCGCCGACATCAGAGACGGTTTTCGGCGGCAGCGTAGACGGACCGACACGGACGAGGACAGGCAGGAGCAGTTTGCACTAGAGCAGGAGACGGAGTGGAGGCGGACCTTGCAGCGCGAGCTGCAGCTCTCGAGTCTGGAGGGGGGTGTCCTCGAGAGCAGGACCGTCATCGAGGGTTGGGTTAGCAGGGTTAGGGCTACGGCTGAGGAGGCGCGTGTGGCTCACGAGCAGGCTGTTGCAGAGGCAGCGGCGCTACAGGCAGCACGTGAGCAGTTTAGACAGGAGACAGAGCAGCAGCAGCAGCAGCAGCAGCAGCAGCAGCAGCAGCAGCAGCAGCAGCAGCAGCAGCAGCAGACGCAGCAGCAGCCACAGCAGCAGTCGCAGCAGCCGTTTGGTGCCACTGCTACAGGGACAGGGGTTGCTGCAGGGGCAGGGGTTGCTGGAGAGGGGGGAGAGCCGTACGCTATCACCTCACTTCTGTTCCAGCAGGTCTTTGCTGGCGTCTTGCCGGGAGCTGCTACAGGGGGGGCAGCAGCAGGGGGTACCACTGAGGCAGCAGCTCCTGCTGACGCCACGCTACTCTCACAGGCGGCAGAGGTTTCAGCTGCTATCCAGTCAGGTACGGTGCCGACGTACATCTCCACCCTCATAGAGACTGAGGCAGAGGTTCTGGCCACTGCACTGCGCGTAGTCTTCAAGACCGAGCGGGGTCTGGTTAAGACTCGCAGGCAGTTCTTCGAGGGGAGGGTAGCAGCCAGCTTCAAGAAGAGCTTCGTTCCGCAGCTGCATCTTCACACTCCAGAGGTGCAGGCACAGGCTAACACGAGGCTTAGGGAGCTGGAGCAGCAGGTGCTGGGTCAGATGCAGCTGATTTTGATCCAGGGGCAGATGGATGACTTGACTCACCTCCAGAGGCAGGTATCCACCTGGCGCGGCAGGCTTGTGGAGGCGGTAGACGACCTTGTAGCCACAGCTTGCAGCGTGGGCTTTCTTGCGCAGCAGTTTGCAGCAGAGTCTTCTCGCCCTGCTGTTTGGCAGAGCATCCAGACTCTACGGGGACGGTGTCACGCCGCTGTCGCTGACGCGCTTCTGCGGGTGGGGCTGGAGCACCAGCGGTACGTCCACCAGGAGACCACCAGGATCGACAGGCAGCAGGCGCAGCGGACGGCCCAGCAGGAGCGGCGAGCACAGGCAGAGGGTGCGCCGGTAGACGAGGTCATGGGGGAATTTGTCCCTCGTGAGGTCGAGAGACAGGTCGGCGCTTGGCAGGACGAGCAGAGGGAGGCCTGGCGTCGGTTTTCTGAGCGTCTAGACCGTCTTGAGGGTCGTCGACAGGGGCAGCAGACGCAGCAGCAGCGGGGTAGGACCCGTGCTAGGGAGCCGACGGGAGATGGCCGCCTCGAGTCCATCTCCCCTGTTCGCAGCCGTCCACAGCCAGCCACAGCGGCGGCACAGACTGCAGGTGCCCAGGCGGCAGCCACCGCAGCTGCTACAGCGGCCCAGCAGCGCCCGGGACAGCGACAGACGCAGACCCAGGGGCAGCAGCAGGGTACAGGACAGGGGCAGCAGCAGGGTGCGGCACAGGGGCAGCAGCAGCGGCAGCAGCAGCAGCAGCAGCCGCAGCAGCAGGGTCAGCGACAGCAGCAGGCTCGCCAGCAGCAGCCACCCGTCCAGCCTTCTGGACGCCAGACTGGCCAGACTCCAGCCTCAGCTCAGGGAGGTTGGGGGCAGCGTCCCAGTGGCCCGGGTGACCGGCGCGGGCCCTGGAGTGGACAGGGGTGGCGTGGGGACCAGGGTGGACGTTGGGGGGGAGGAGGGCGTGACGGGGGGAGACAGGAGGGGGGTTGGCAGGGTTTTGGCCCGTGGGGGCAGCAGCCGTTCCAGCAGGGCTACTTCCACCCACAGCAGCAGCCCCTCGTACACCCCGCACAGGGAGGCCCTTTTTTCTGGCCTCAGCCCCCTTTTCCTGGGGGGCACCACCTGCCCTTCTTGGGCCACCTAGCGCAGCAGCAGTTCCTTCAGCAGCCGTTTTACGGGACTCCGGCGTGGCAGCAGCCACAGCACCGCCCGGGCCCAGTGTTTCCACAGGACCATCTGCCGCAGCAGCCCCAGGGGCAGCAGCAGACGGGGCAGCAGCAGCAGCAGCAGACGGGCCAGTAGAGGCAGACACAGGGGACGGGGTTGGTAGCCGAGGGAGGCACAGACCACGTAGGAGGCTAGAGGAGTCGGACAGGGAGCGTCTGCTTCGACGGTTTGCCAGGCGCAGTGTGCAAGAGGTCGCGGACAAGCTAACTAACGTGGCTGTCCACAACCTCTCGCGCAGGCGTCTGACAGAGGATGAGCTTACAGGCCTTGCTCTTGGCCTTAAGTTCATCCCTACGCCCCCTCCTCTTGACCGAGGGCGGCTGAGTCAGGCTGTGGAGCAGTATCAGCGGCGGGTTAGGCTAGCGTGGCAGTTTCGGGACAGCCGCAGACCGGTGCCTAGGTTTCGGGTCCCACGACCTAGTTGGCAGCCGGACCCGGGGCCACCAGAGGTCGAGGAGTATCTTGCTGAGGTAGCTGACAGGGTGGAGGGGCTGGCGGGTCTTATAGGAGGGCCCGCTCGGCCCAACATCAGCAGCCGCGTTAGGGGTGCACTCCTGGGGTTGAGTCGTGACCGGTCTGTTGTCATCAAACCGGCGGACAAAAACCTTGGGATCGTGGTACTGGATAGGGACTGGTACGAGGGGGAGGCGCTGAGGCAGTTGGGGGACAGGGCAGTCTACGAGCCGGTTGCTGCGGTGCCGCTACGTTCCCTTTGGCAGCAGCTGTGTAGGTGGGCAGAGCAGGCGCGTTACGCAGGGGTTCCGCCACAGGTGCTGGACTACATCTTGCAGCCGCGTACTCCGCCGACGGGGGTGTCTGCCGGGGTCTGGGAGCAGTTTCGGGTGTGCAGATTTTACCTACTACCGAAACTGCACAAGACCCCGGTGGCTGGCAGACCCATCTGCTCGTCTACGCTTTGGGTCTTTGAGCACGCGTCGGCGGTTCTTGATCACCACCTCCGCCCCCTCCTACAGTTCTCACCCGCACACCTTCCTGACTCGCTCGCACTTCTTCACCAGCTTCAGGACCTCTCTGTGCCTGCTGACGCTCTCTTCCTCACTTACGACGTAGAGAGCCTCTACCCGTCGATTCCTATCGACGCAGGTATCAGCTGCATAGAGAGGTGGTTGTTTCGGCTGGTAGGGTTGGGTAGGGTGGCGGTGCGGGTAGCAGACGCGTTGGTGCAGCTGTTGGGGTTAGTCATGAGACAGAACCACCTCGAGTTTGGTGGTCGCTTCTGGCGACAGGTTCGGGGTACTGCCATGGGCACGCCTGTGGCGGTGATCTACGCGGTTCTGTTCATGGCTTGGTTAGACGAGAGGCTGTTAGAGACCGAGCCAGAGTTGTCGCAGTTCGTCCTTCTCCACCGCAGGTTTATAGACGACGGGGTGGTTATTTGGACGGGTACACGTGAGCGGCTCCTGGACTGGGTGCGGGCTTTCGGTGGGTTGGAGCAGACTATTCGGTTGACCCACGAGATCTCGACCTCACACTTTACCTTGCTGGACATTACGTTCAGCAAGGGGGAGCTTTGGCAGAGGACGGCTGTTCTGGACACTAGTACTTTCCAGAAGCCGCTTAACGTGTACCAGTACTTTCCTTTCTCCTCCGCGCACCCCTCTCACTGCAAGAGGGGCTTTATTTTGGGAGAGTTGCAGCGGTACATCCTGCGGGAGTCCAGCTTTAGGGGTTACTTGGGCATCAGGGCAGCCTTTTACTCTCGGCTTCGGGCCAGAGGCTACCCTGATGCCTTCTTGCAGCCGATATTCAGCAGCATCTCCTACGCACGACGCCCGGAGCTGCTAGCCAGGTCACGGGCTCGGGTGGAGCGGGAGCAGGAGGAGCAGCGGGTTCTCCCTCTCGTTCTCGACTTTCACCCTAGTGTGCAGCAGGTTCGCTGGGGCGCGCTGCTGGAGTTTCCCACAGGTGCACCGGCTTTCGAGCAGCTGTCTCACTACAGGGCACCCTTCGTGTCCTACAGGGCACCGCCGTCACTGCGTCGCGTTCTGGTTCGAGCGGCGTTCAGGTGACTGTGTCGCGTGTCGCCTTCAGCCGTCACCCTAGAGTTCAGCACCGGTCTTTCGTTGGTAGTGGCTCCAGGGTTGGTCCTCTGCCGTCTCCCCGCCCTTCCTCCTTGATTCGCTACACAGGTTGGGCCCTGGAGGCAGCACTCTCTTTCACTGGCTGCAGTGTGTTCCTTTGAGTTGGGCCTTTGCAGCAGCACCGTCCCCCGTCCGGTCTCTTTGTTTGCGCTACACAGACCGGGCCTTGGGACGCACACCAGCCCCCCGCCTGGCCTCCTTGATTCCTTTTACACAGGCCAGGCCCTGGGGCGGTGCGAGCGCCCCCGGCTGCTCTTTCCTTATTCTTGGGGGTTTAGCACTGGGATATGCACTTGCACACTTGTACCACTCCCCATCCCAGACCTTTATGAGTACTTGGGATGCCTACCTCTTCTTTGCACGGGGTCTTGGGGTTTGGATCCATGCGCATCTTGTATATTCCCCGCTCCTGGCCATATGAGCACAGGAGCGCCTTCCTCCTCTTGCATATCATTGGGGGGGGTTTGCATTTAGGGGCCTTGATGCACGTGGCACTTGTACTCGACACGCCCCCGACCTTTATGAGTTCGAGGGGGCACTGCACATAGTGGGCAGTCAGACCTCGAGCGGGTTCTTGGGGCCCTGAGGTCGGGTACTAGTCGGGCTCTGTTCCGTGATGACTTCATCACGTAGGGCTGTTGAAGAGCTCTCCGACGAGCCTTCACACGTCCCGAACGGAGCACCGAGCGCATAGTTATGCGCATTTTTCTGTTTCTGCTACTCGGATTCGTGCGAATCCGTGAAGCGACATAGTAGCTACCGGGGCTATTCTAGAAAGCTCCGGTTTTCGCCGCCCGGCCATGGCTGATGGGTTCCATATCATATATGGGACCATAAGCCCCGTAGGGGCTGGAGGCCATCCGCGCCGTCGGATTTGCCATCCGGTGCCCGGATTGGGAGATATGGGCGCCTAGGATGATGGTCCCTGACAGGGTGCCACTTGGCACCTTGCAGGGCTAGTTTTGAGCCTAGGTGGCGCTTGCCCCACAAGGCATTCTGTGACATTGGGTAGGGATTGCTCGAGTAGGGAACTCTTGCTAGGGTAGGAAATGTCTTGCTGATGATGCCTTCACGGGCGAAATCGATACGAGACGGCTTCTACCTTCACTTGAGGTACTTACTCTCTTGCATTTCCCTACACACTAGGCTCCAGACTTGTGTTTTTTTTCTTGCTTTCCTAGCTTCTCACTTTGCCTAGGACTTGCACAGTTTGTGGCCGTTGGAGAGCCTCGTGTTGCTCTCTAACAGCGGTAGTGTTGCGTAGGTTAGCGCCGACGAGTAGAGTAGCTCAGAGGCTCGTGCATTGGCCTTCTCCCAGGCTAGGTCGTAGTCTCTCGCTCTACGTTCGGCAGGGTTCGCCTCGCTTTAGTCACCCTTTTCGCTAGCGACTCTGGAGTCCGGAGCAGCACTGCAGCTCAGTTCTTTGAGCCCTTCTTTTCAAACCCTAAACCCTAAACCCTAAACCCTAAACCCTAAACCCTAAACCCTAAACCCTAAACCCTAAAACCCTAAACCCTAAACCCTAAACCCTAAACCCTAAACCCTAAAACCCTAAACCCTAAACCCTAAACCCTAAACCCTAAACCCTAAACCCTAAACCCTAAACCCTAAACCCTAAACCCTAAACCCTAAACCCTAAACCCTAAACCCTAAACCCTAAACCCTAAACCCTAAACCCCTAAACCCTAAACCCTAAAACCCTAAACCCTAAACCCTAAACCCTAAACCCTAAACCCTAAACCCTAAACCCTAAACCCTAAAACCCTAAACCCTAAACCCTAAACCCTAAACCCCTAAACCCTAAACCCTAAACCCTAAACCCTAAACCCTAAACCCTAAACCCCCTAAACCCTAAACCCTAAACCCTAAACCCTAAACCCTAAACCCTAAAACCCTAAACCCTAAACCCTAAACCCCTAAACCCTAAACCCTAAACCCTAAACCCTAAACCCTAAACCCTAAACCCTAAACCCTAAACCCTAAACCCTAAACCCCCTAAACCCTAAACCCTAAAACCCTAAACCCTAAACCCTAAACCCTAAACCCTAAACCCTAAACCCTAAACCCTAAACCCTAAACCCTAAACCTAAACCCTAAACCCTAAACCCTAAACCCTAAACCCTAAACCCTAAACCCTAAACCCTAAACCCTAAACCCTAAACCCTAAACCCTAAACCCTAAACCCTAAACCCTAAACCCTAAAAAAAAAAAACCCTAAACCCTAAACCCTAAACCCTAAACCCTAAACCCTAAACCCTAAAAAACCTAAACCCTAAACCCTAAACCCTAAACCCTAAACCCTAAACCCTAAACCCTAAACCCTAAACCCTAAAAACTAAACCCTAAACCCTAAACCCTAAACCCTAAAAAACCCTAAACCCTAAACCCTAAACCCCTAAACCCTAAACCCTAAACCCTAAACCCTAAACCCTAAACCCTAAACCCTAAACCCTAAACCCTAAACCCTAAACCCTAAACCCTAAACCCTAAACCCTAAACCCTAAACCCTAAACCCTAAACCCTAAACCCTAAACCCTAAACCCTAAACCCTAAACCCTAAACCCTAAACCCTAAACCCTAAACCCTAAACCCTAAACCCTAAACCCTAAACCCTGGGCTAACACCAGCGCCAAACTGGTTGTTAGGCTCGACGTAGCGTTGTGCTAGCTGGATGCACACATCCTCCAGTCGGCGCTTGATACCCGTAATTTCAACCTGAGGATGGAATTTATGGAGAAGTTTAGCTGAAGAAATGAAGAATGAAAAAAAAAAAACCATAAACAACCGCAATCATCCCACCTGCCTCTCCTGGAAGTGCAGGTTAAGGGTGTTCAGCATGACAAGCACGTCTGCCATGAAGAAGAGCATAAACAAGAACTTGAAAGAGCTTCCTGTTTCGAGAAGGCTGTGATCCTCCTCGTTCCACAACCACAGAAGAGCGGGCAGCACGTCGCAAAACCTGTTGATGGCTTCTCCTCGGGATAGCCACCGCACGTTGTACATTCCTTGTACCTCAAGCTGGGTGCGGAGAATCTCCTGCTGCAAGCGGAGGAAATTCTGGCGCCTTACATGAGACCTTCCCAGAATTTCAGCAGTGCTCCTAACTTGTGTGTCGATCGGGTTGAAGTCAGGCATCCGGGATGCTGCATCCTTGGCAGCTAGTGCCTCCCTGTGAAGTGTAGAAAACAATGTAATGAGACATTAAATGAGGCTTCCAATGACTTTCAAATACATATAGGTTGTAAGTGGAAAGGCTATTTAAGTGCTCCTATTTCCAGCAAGTATAGTATTAGCTTTCGGTCACCTGTGGGCGATGCAATGTGTTGAAACAAGCCATGGGCAGGTCTGTCGCAAGCGTGCCACCAGCCCCGCCTGCTGTCCGGTCATCACCGAAGCCCCGTCGGTGGAGATCCCAACCAGCTTGTCTAGCGGGATGCTGCATGACTCCAAGAAGGATGTGAGAGCCGTGAGGAGGGACTCGGCATCTGCCCTCTCCACTGACAGCAAAGCGAGAAACTGTGTGACAACCTGTCGGTCCCTCTCATACGACATGTAAACAATCATGTGTTTACCGTGCGCACGGTCCGTGGATTCATCAAGAGAAAGCCCATACCATGGACTCTCCCTGATGTAGCGCAATTGCTTGTCCTGAAGATGCTGTGCCAACGCTGTTGTGAACTCATTCATGGCATACCTGCCATGTACACATTAGATGCAAGAGGTGTAAACCTGCATGTTAAGTTTACGATAAAAAAATGGCACAACAAACAAGGACATGCTTCACTCATTACATTAGCAAAACAACACAAGGGTGCAACAAAAAGTAGCAACTCACTGGGAAAAGTAGCGGCCGTAGGATTCTGAGCCAGCCATGTCAGGAATGCCCTCGTCCACCAAGAAGCGGACAAGAGTTGGATACAGCAGGATCGGTGCATCATTGCGGCACACAAAGTAAGCGGCATGGATACAACGAACAACGTGTCGTTTCACAGCGTCGGAGTCCGCGTACTGAGTCATGCGTCTCTGATTTCGCTCCGTGCCATCTGCCGTGTTCTTCCGTGAAACAGCCAACTGATGACCACGTGAACGCTGGTGGGAGCGGATGCTAGTCTTCTGGAAGTCCCGAGCGCCGATACCATTCCTGCCATACCGTGTGTGCCCCCCGTCGTCACCATGCTCCAAGCAAATGGTGCATTTCAAGCCATACTGGTGCGAAGGTTTGTGGTACTCGAGGCGCAGCCACTCAAAGTGGTCTCGCCATTCACGGCGGTAACGGCGGGCAATGAGTCTCTCTGCTGCGGGAATGGGGTCGCCCTGGTTATCAACGGGAGCATCATCCTCCGTGGGCTCAGGGACAGTGGTGCGGCGGCGCCTAGGCTCAGGAGGAGGTGCGAATGGAAGGATGGTCTGACGAGACCTTCTTCTAGAACCAACCTGGGAAACAGCGGCTTCATCCTCACTAGCAGATTCTGGCTCAAGAACGCCCTCCGTGAGGTTGAGAGGTTCAGTTGCTTAGGGTTTAGGGTTTAGGGCACGACACTCTCCGTGCTACGCTTGCTGACCTGCAGTTCTTTCCGTCTTCCGCAGACCCTTTACTCTTCGTTCGTGC